CCATTCCCAACAAACCTGTAGTTTGTGCAGCAGAGCTGAGGTGTAAAAGGGAAGAGGAAGATCCAAACAATGTAGTTATTGGGTCCGGCTCTAATGTGCAATTGTAGATATCAGAAAAACGTTTAAAAATGTCCAACCAATAGTTATGCTATTTGGGGCAAGTCCAAAATAAATGAGTGAGAGAGCCTTCTCCAAGTTTAAAATGATCATATGTCGGACTAATAGAAGGAAAAATGATGGCGTTTTTGTTGCTGAAGACAGCCAAGTGTCTGCATTTGTTGACACTTTACAGAAGGCAGTGAAAAATTCAAGTTTAGGTGATTTTGTTTTTCATTTTGGTTAATTTGACATAATAGTTTTTACTATAGTAACCAAATGACTGTCTTCTGCAAAAAGACTACTGTTAAATTAGAGTAAATGGAAAATCTTGTCATTTACTTTATAATTCCTTGCTATTTTATTATATTTGTCACATGTCATAGACACGGGGAAGAGGCGCATGTGGGGATTCCCAGTAGACAGCAGCGTGAGAGACTTCAAGGAAGGCCTCCAAACTGGATGAAGAGGAGATGGAGGTCGCTGTGTGTCGACATGGATTAATGTGTCTTTCGTGTCACTTTCACTTCAGGGACGGCAAACCGGTCACTGTGGTGTATTTCAGGAATGGTTACATGCCTGACAACTACACTTCTGAACAGGTCCAACTTTTGATTTGCACTCAGAATGATTGCATCAAAAGAGTTTAGTTAAAAACACTAAAATGAAACCTGCAGACTTGCTTAAAGTGATTCGTGTTCATGAGAAACTGGAACGTCATTATCATTGAGTTTATTTCTTTCCCTGCTAAGCAACACCAAGTCTAGCCCTGATTGGCTGATAGAAGTGACAACAGACCTGTTGCTGTGTCAGTCTGTGTACATAATCCTTACCTGGGTGTTGCTGTTCAGTGTAAGCAATATCACTCACATTTATTCCTCTGATTTATTTCTCTGTGGTTGCACTCGTCTACAGAGTCCAGAGAGGGACAAAACAGTATCAATGGCCTTGGGAGCAGCAGAACGGTTTGTCCTGAAGCCT